CTCCCGGGAAAAAGATGCGCACATGTGACGCTGGTGTACACAGGGTGAACACATGTTCTCTACGCAGCCGTCCGCATCTCCTGCACCAATGCTCATATAGCTCTACCTGTACTGCGTCGCTGTGTCGTACATTGTTACAAAGGTTCTCCCGTGCGGGGCGCTAGCAATGCTGCAGAGACCTCTGCCTTCATGTACGAATTTCTTAACCACCTTTGCGCCTTCCGCCGTGCTACATATATCAGGCGGCTCTCGCAGTCCGTTAGAAGGGCTTTCCCGGGCTCTGCTCTGGACGCATGTGACAAATGTTTCTATGTCCGTGTGCAACCTTCTGGAAAGCCTGTTCCCTATACAGCCTTCTGAAAAGGCTTCCGTCCGTCGCCCACCATGCACAAAAGGACAGGGCTACAGACTTCATATATGCCAGCGGGACCCCTGTGCGCGTATGCACGGTCGGCAGTGGGTTGTGTCTTCACAGCCTTACAGCAGACACACACGTGTGAACACAGTTTTAATCGCAAGCTGGTCTTGTGTGTGGGGTACACAGTTTTAATCGCAAGCTGATCGTTCTGCCGTGTCTTTACAAAGCACGCCTTACAGCAGACAGGCACGTGTGTTCATAGATTCAGTCGCAAAAGGGTGTTTCTCCCACTGATAGCACATCTCCGAGTGCGCCCCGCTGTCGTTTGCCTGCGTTTGTATGTGTGCGCGGGTGAGCTGAACTCCTGGAAGTCGTTTTTCCCGGTTGCAAATGTGTGCGTAGATATCATAGCCCCTAGGCAAGCGTACTCGTTGCAGCAATTACAGATTTCACGAGCTGCTGAAAGTTCTTTTTCTCGGTTGCAAACGTGGGTGCATGAATATCTGAGCTTCTGAGAAAGTGTACTGACTGCTTCAATCACAGCTTTAACGACATGGCGAAAGTCGTCTTGTTTGGTTGCGAACGTGTGTATGTAGATATCACAGCTTCTGAGAGAGTGTGCACACTGCTTTAACTACAGCTTTAACGACCGCCTGACGGTCGTTTTCCGACAAACGTGTGTACGTAGGATATCACAGCTTCTGATGGAGTGTACTCGCTGCTGTAATTACAGCTTTAACGACCTATCGAAGTCCTTTCCCTTGGTTGCAAACGTGTGTGCGTGAGTACAGCTTCTGAAAGTCTGTACTCATTGCTTTGATTCCAGCTTCAACGACCTCACCTTTCGTAGGCAGAGGCGGAAGCAGACAGATCCTCCGGGGTCAGCTGCACGACCACGGACGTGAACTTGTTGCGTAGCTGAAATGATTCCTCTTCGGTTGTTCGCAGATTGACGGGCACTACAATGTTGAGGTGCACTGACAGTCGTTGCTTTCGTGTCTTCCTCTCCGGCCAATGTAGGGGGATGTCCTTTGTGACATGCTTCTCCGCCTGCGCAGGCCGTCTCCACGTCGCGCCACCAACTGCTGCAACTGCCTTGCTCGTCTCGGCACCAACTGCTGCTACTGCCTTGCTCGTCCCGGCAGCAACTGCTGCCATCGGCTTGCTAGGTTCGGCAGCAACTGCTGCCACTGCCTTGCGAGGACGTATGGCTTCTACAGCAGCAGACTCCGTCCCCTGTCGGCTGCTGCAAGCGTCTGGTCCCTTCGCAGCATGCTGCTGATTCCCGGCACCGTCAGCCGGATTGTTCTCTGCAGTTGAAACAGGTGTGGTGCTGCTGGAGGCTCCTTGCTGCTCCTCCGACGGTACATCTGGCCCGCTGCGGGGCCGTCTGCCGGCGCGGGTCCGTCCGTCAGCTGCTGCTTGGTGGGCTCCCGTGCCTTTGTCACTCGTGAAACGACGTAAGTAGTCCTCACCTATAACACGGTCGGCATCGAAAACTTGAACTCGCTCTTTCCGGCGCAGCATATAGCCGCTGCAGACTGCAGCGCCCTCGCCGCCTCTCCGTGCCTCTTTTTCTTTTTCCCCAGCCCCGCGCGGACATAAGTAGTCCTTTATGATGCTGTTGCCATCGAAAACCTGTATTCGCTCTTTCCTGCGCAGCACGCAGCCGCTGCTGACTGCAGCCCTGTTGCAGCCTCTGCGTGCCTGCTCTTTCTTTCCCTCAGTCCACCGCGGCACAGGCGTGTGCAGGCGGCTTCTCTTAGCAGGCGGACTCACCCCTGCATCACTGCTTCTTGCCCTCAGCCGTACGTGAGTGGTTGACGACGATAAGCCGCACGCACAGGAGGCGACAACGCTGTGGCGTCTTGGACTGCGCACGTACCTGTCTTCGTCCCTGTCTGTCCTTGTTGGTTCCTCTTTCCTCCTTGCTGGTTCCTCTTTCCTCCTGGTTGGTCCCTTGTTCCTCTGGCTGAGAAGGGGCGTGTCTTCCGTACTGCGCCAAGTGCTCGCGCTTTGCTGAACGTCCGCAGTGCTGCTGTGAGCATACTCGTACTGCACTGCTGCCGAGAAGAACTTGTCGTATTCCGTAATGTCTCCTGCATGTCTTGCATTCTCGCCGGCAACAACACACCTGCGTTTAGCATTTCTGCAAGTACCTGGGGAACACGGAGAGAGTCCGCGCGTTGTTTCATGACACCTCTCTCGAGGAGCAGAACGTTGTGTTCTCCGTCTTTCCCCGCTGTTGCTCGCCTGTTGCTTCTTCGGAGAAGCCGAACAACCGGCAAATGGAGCTGGAGTGGAAACAATGTTGGCGCTATACAAGGAACACACCTGTGAGTCTTCTGTCTCTCCTTCCACGGCTTGTGACTGTGTCTCCTCGGCTTTGATGTGCATGTAGCGGCATATGCCGCCAGCTATGCAGCTCGTTAGCAACTCATTGATGGTGAAAGCACTTGTTCCCCCTTTCATAACTGAGGCAGGATCGGCAGCAGCCGCAGCAATGGCGGTGGCAGGGGGACAAAAGAAAGCTGCTGCCAGGCCTGCCTGAGATAGCCGGTGCCGGCTGCTGCTGTTAGTGCGGCAGGTCCTCCTTCGCGCGCAAAGACGAATAATTTCGGCAGCTGCGTGAAAGACAGACATTGCAGACAGGCCTCCAGACATTACAGACAGGCCTCCTGTTGCCCGCTGAGCCGCCGTATCCGGGCGGGACGTGTCCGCCGCCGCCCGTGTGCCGCATCTCTCTGTAGCGGCGGTTTCTGAGTTATCTGCCAAGCCTGCAGCAGCCAGAGCAACTTCTGGCATAGCAGCAGCAGCGGCAGCAGCAGCCGCAGCAGCAGCGCCACCCGAAACCGCAGGAAGCGCGAGCGACAGATCCGTTGAATGGGTGGACGCTGAGTACCTCAACCTGTGGCATAAGCGACGTGCAAATGCGGCCAGTTCTGAGTGCTGCAGCAGGCAAGAGAGATAGGGGACTCCCACAGAAAGCCAGTGCTGCAGCACTTGCCGAAGTCGTCCGGAAAGCACGAGAGCGGAGCGAGAACTACAGAAAACATCCCTCTCCGCGGGCCGCGTAGATCCTCCTGTTGGTGCTACTGCAGCTTCTTCTCCTCCTCGTGCTGCTGCTGCAGCTGCTGCCGCCAGAGAACGCCGCAGCTTTCGCAGGCGCTGCAAATCAAAACGAAAATGGACGTCATGCGCCCAGCCCGACCTGTGTGGCACAGCATATACATATACATGCATAGACACGCAAAGGACCAAACAGTCGTATACCGTCACATACGTGCTGCAGATACATCCGCTTCCCTACAGCGTCCTGTACGCGTATACACAGAACCGCGAATCCGTGTCCCAACCGAAATGTACGCCGGTGACATTATTAAATCATGTATGTGCAGGCCTCTTTGCTGCTACGCATACGTACGGATATATAGTAGAACACATATATATGTATACAGGTATTTATATATATATATATATATATATATATGTATATATATATATATGTATATATACACGCATACATAGAGGCGGATATGTCTATGTCTCCACGTGCTTGTTTGCACGCTACAAAAAGACAACACTGCACTCAGGTAGACCTGCAGCGGAATTCCCGCGTTACAGTGGTCGTCTCAGAATTGTAAAAGGCCCGAGCATTTACCTTCGATGCTCCTGTTTGTGTAAGGAGCAGGTTTCGGTGGTTCTGCCATTCACTTCTTACGTGCATTCACCGATCTATCTATCTATAAAATATGTATATAAATATACATATATATTTACATACGCCAGTAAGCAAACGTATGTGGCAACCCCTAGGAACGGAAGCAGCTCTTGTCCTGCTGCTGGCGTAAGCATGCGGATGCGCACCACATAGCGAGAGAAAAGGCTGTCTCGTTTCTTCTTTCCACGTCCGTCAGCCGCGCCTTGTGACAGAGATCGCTCGTGACACAGGGTAGCGGAATGCAACGTGCCCTGTTTTTCCGGTGTAGCTCTAACATGCAAACCTACTACCGCTACTACGACTACTGCCCTCACAACAACAACAAACACTACTGCTGCTACGAGTACTACTACTGGTACTACTACTACTACTACTACAACTGCTATCATTACTCCTACCAGTCCTAGCCGCGGGCGCCTCGCTTGCTGTCACTTCTCAAGACATAAAGCATGTAAGTATTTCTTTATCCCTTTTATCTCTGTTAGAGGCTGCATGCGTGCAGACACACGTAGAAAGATGTACACATTAGTGGTGTGCGTCCGACAACATTGCGCGAAAAGTCGCTCACACTGCCAGCTGCCGCTTCTTCTTAGAATATACACGTTTTCGTTTTCTGCCCCGGCACTGACGGCACATGTAGAAATACACAAGAATGCTGGAGACCTCTTCTAGGAAGATGGTGTGAAAAAGCGAGAATTCTGGCAGCCGCTGCTCTCTTTTGACTACACAATGCTGACAGCTGTGCTATCAGAAAAGCCAGAGACTTATATTGTTGTGGTTTTCGTACTTGACGCGTTTGGGTTGTCGCGGATTATCCCAGCACCTTTCTCTGCGCAGCACGAGGAGCGAGCAGACGTGCCACGGAATTTGCAGGTACGCGAGGAGAAGTACGAGTAGCCGCGGCAGCAGAGAAAGCTGACTAACGGGAGGGACCAGAGGTTTGATAGCACTTGTAGACTGCAGCATTTTCGCTTCTTCTTTTGCACCAGCAGTGACCCTACTACTAGGAGTAGCAGTGCACGGGTAGCTTTTCGAAGACGTAGAAGCTGTCCGTCCTGGCGTGCAAGACCCTATTTCCTCCCTATTAGTCCTGCTGCTTTCTTCGCACGAGAAGGGAGGGCCTTCAGTGGATGACGAAACTTGTTGTGGAGAGGAGGCCGCAGGAGGTGCAGGCTTCTTCTCTGTCGAAATTACGGAAGAGTAAACTACTGGTTGCGGTCCCGCTCTAGAAAGCGAGGAAAATGAGTCGCTGACCCCTGGGGAGACTCCAGTATTAGTGAAAGCGGCTTGGGACAGTTGTTCGTCGGTTTCATTCGAACCTGCACGTAGTAGAGGTTGTGTCAGAACCGAGAGTTTCTCCGCAGCCGCAGCAGATGTAACAGCAGCTGCAGCGCTTGTGTCTTCGCTTGTAGTGGCTGCACGGCGGACAGAAGCCGAAGACGAAGAAGGTTTGACGGCAGGAGGACACTCAGCAGCAGCAGCACCATCCCTAGGGGAGGCCACTGCAGCAGCAGCAGACTCCGGCAAGGCGCCACCTGCATAGTGATGAGTACGAGGAAGCGGCTGGATACCTGCCGCCGATGACTCAGGTAGACACTTGTGGAGAGGTTTTCCATCGAAACAGCGGCCGCTGGAAGCAGGAGATGATGCAGCTGTGGTCGCTGGAGTCGACGACGGCATATCTTCTGGCAGTACTTGTAAGGAAGCAGCTGGGTAGTCTTTCGTGTCCAGCGTCTCTGTCTTAGTGTCGGGTTCACTTTGTTTTTCCCCTGCCTCTCTCTGTGTCTCACTTCTGCCGGAACGTCCACTCATTATCCGGCCTTTCACTGCAGCGACAGGCTGCTCGAGCTGCTTCCTACCTGACTGTGCGGAAGCCTTTGCCGCACTAGCTGCACTCTGTTTCACAGTGGCTGCATCTTCATCACCTGGTACTGCTGACGAAGTCGCAGGCGACACATGTTGCTGCTCTGCCTTGCGATCGGTCCGCTGCTGCGGCGGCTGCGCTGTAAAGACGTCGGAAAGGAACATGTTGATAAGAGCAATTCCATCAGCCACGGCATGATGAATACGGAAAAGTAGCAGAGACCCTACACGCGGTTTGTTAGAGTTGTTGTCGCTGCACCTACTTCTTACAGTGCTTCGCGTGGTCCAGTTGTCTGCTTGAGGTTCCCGCGAAGAGTCATGAAGCCTCCTTTTCAAACTGCGCCGCGGAGCTCTCTCAGTCTCGATACAGCCTCCCGGGCTCGTAATCCCTCTCCTTCCCCATGCTATATTAACTTGGACGACGCTGCAGTTGCCTCCGTGTGCTGCGCTCGTTGTGTTTGATAGCTTTGATAGACTACTGCTGTTCGAGAGTACTGGTGGATGCGGAGCTGTCTTCGTATTCTCTGTGGCCGTCTCCTGCTGGGCGACTACATGAGGCGTGTCCTGCTGTTCTTTCTCTAGTTGGTGTTGAGTACTCTGCTGCTGTTCTTTGCCTAGTTGGTGCTGAGTACCGCTCTGCGGTGTTCTGAGGGCATCATCTTCTTCTACGTTCTTATTCCTCCTTGTTCTTCTCCCTCTTAGGCACACCAGTTGACCACTATTTTTGCTGAATGTAGGAGCTACGCAGTCTCTGCTGCCATCGATACTCCCGCCTGGGTCCCGCCGCATGCTTTCGACTTGTCCTGTCTTGCTCTGTCTTGTCCCGGTACTTTCTCTTTTTTCCATTTCCTGCAGAGGTATTCCGTTGCTGCGTGTAGACGCTGTGCTGCTTGCTGCAGATCGTTTTCTGCCGCTTGTAGCTTGCTTCCCTTCCTTCAAAGAATTGTCTCGCTGGCAGCAGTCGCGAAGCCAGTCTCTGTCACTCTTGCTGCCTTCGTCTGCATAGCAATCATTATTTTTGATCTTCGTGTCCTCGCGACACGCACGTGCGGTGGGCTGTTGTGTGAAATATCGAATTTCTTCTGATGCAGAGGACACGTCTAGAGGGAGCTCTACAGACTCGAGCAGCACAAATTGCCACAGTGGCTGGGCAGGTGGAAGAGTCTGACTGCTTAGCAATGCCACCAGCGCTTCTGCTTCCTCTTTACGCACTACACAGTCACACATCTTTCTTCCGCTGCACCCACGCTGTTCTGCCTCTGGCAGGCTCCTGCAGTGGCCACTGTTGAGCGGCATACATGGTACGCTGCTGTTCCTTGACCTCCAGTGGTGGGTGCCTTCTCTTCCTCTATTAGCAGTGCATGTAGCTGAGATTCCTTCTGTATCATTGCTCCTCTCACTTCCGCCGGGAATGGAGATATTAGGACGCCGGAGGCCGCTCTGCACCTCCTTCCCGTCCTCCTCCTTGTCCTTCCCCTTGTTCTCTTCATCGCTTGCGTTCTCGGCCTCCTCAGCCGTCTCGCGTATTGTGTTAGTATTGGTGCTGCTGCGGTGCTTACTGTTCCTATCGCAGTAGTAGGCAGCCCCCACGTCTGACATTGTCTTTCCATCCTCTGTCTGCAAGCTGCTTCTGCAGAAAGGGGTGCTGCCACATGTAACACAGAAGCTACCTTCTTTTTCTGTTTCATCTTTCATGTTCTCTCTGGTGTTTCTGCGCGTTACAGCATGCGGGCACACGTTTCCTCCTAGAAGCAGGTCCTCGCTTCCCCCCGTGCGGGCGTGCCAGCCAGAGCGTAGACTCCGGCGGACAAAAGCCATCATCTCCTCTACGTCTCCACCTTGTTTGCAGTGCTCGCATGAGGCAGCGGCTGCAGTGCTGTCTTTGCTACCACCACGTTCATCGACAAGACTTCTCCGCTTCCCAAGGGGGGTCAGGTTATCGTCTTTCGCGAGAAATTTGTCTTCGTTCATGCATGAGGCATATCTGTGTCTCCGACTACTACGCCCGGCCCCCGAGGTGCCGACGCCTGCCTCACCATCGGACCACCTGTCCGCTCTTCTTGTTCTCTCACAGTATCTCGCTTCTTCCTGTTGGTCCTTTCCCTCCCCGAATGTGCATCCCTTTGGTTTATCCTCCTTTTGTGCCGGCTGCTCTCCGGTGGACGAGCAAGATTCTCCCTTCTTCGTTTCTTCCTCACGCTTGTTCTCCCACCGCTGCTGAGCGCGCGAAAGACGCGACGCCCTCAGAGACTCGGTCTGCTGCCGCCGTATATTTTCCTTCAGTGTTTGGAGATCTGCCGGCGACTGCTGTCTCTGGTGCAGTGCTAGGAGAGCAAGAACTTGCTGTCTATCAAGACTGATAACATGTCTATCAGCTGAGAAATGTTCGTCTCGTACCCAGCAGTGGCGACCTAGTACCATCTTAATTGTCGTACGTAGTCGTGGATGCTTGTAGCACAGCAGTGGCACATCATCTTCCTCATTTTCGGTGTCTGCAAAGCTTTCCTCTACACCTTCCAGTTCTTCTTTGTTGATCTCCCTCGACGCCGATTTCACATACTCCACCTCGTTCATATCTCTCTTCATCTGGCCTTCTCCTTCGTCTTTTCCATGCCCTGTGTGTTGCTGTTTTACTTCTCGCAGGTGTCCTTCTGTCCTTTCGCTTCTTCTCCTCCTCTCCTTCCAGTCCATTTGTCTCCCCCTCCGTCTCTTCTGCTCTGCGTCTGCTCCAGGTGGATGCCGAGCTGGTGTGTTTCCTACGCGTTCCTCCCCTTTACTGGAATGTTGAAATTTGTAGAAATCTTCTTGTCGCGCCAGCATCTTCTTTTGCACGACACGCAGCAGCTCGCCGCGCGTCAATCTCTCTGTGTAGCCAAAAGCGCACACCACCAGGTGTGGCTGAGAAAACAGGAACAGTTCTTGCCCGTTCAATGCACCTAGGATTTCTGCTTTCTTCTTTTTCATCCTCGCAGATGGACCTGTCTTGGAGCCGTCCGCTATTACTGAACAGTTTTCTCGTAGCTGTCTGCTGTTTTGAATTTGCCTTCTACCTGTAGGTACACTAGGACGATCGACGAGAGACAGACGCATAACAGAGGCTGCAGCCTCAAAAAGGAATTCTGAAACGCGGAAAAATCGCTTCCGGGCTCCCGGAAGGGGATGACTTTTCGTATCTAATAGACGCAGACGGGTCGCAAAATCTCCTTCCTCTTTTTTTTCTTTTTCTTTTTTTTTTTGTTCTTCTTCTTCTTCTTTTTCTTCTTCCTGGAGATGGGTCTCGCTTGTCGAGCGACATTGTCTGCACTCTTCGGGTTCTCGTGTGCCACTGGAACCGAGAAACACAGCTCCTCCCTTCCCTGTACGAATTTCCTTATGTACAGCTGCTACCGCTCCGGCGTCCCTTTCTTTCTTAATGAGTGTGCTCTTCTCCGCGTCCTTTTTAGTCGTTGCTGCATACTCTGACTTTACACCTACTGCATTGAGAGCTCCCTTCCTTGAAGATCCTCGTCCTTTAAGTAGCCCTGCAAACTTGTTTGTAGCAGCGGCGAGGCGGAGAAGAATATAAAGGATGCTCCAGTACCCTGAAGCTTTTGCAAAAGCATCAAGATTGGAAGGTTTCTGCCTGTCCGCCAAAGGGGAGGCAGAATGGAGTAGGAAACGCGGGGACGCCAGAGAGCGGGAGAGAGAGAAAAGAGGAACCGTGCAGTATTGGTAGGCTGTGCGTAGCACAGAAAAGAGTATGTATGACAGGCTACATGTAATGTTGTATATTCTTCTCGGACCTGTAACGTGGCGCTGGCTTACACTTTCTTTACGCGCGAAAAGAGACCTGATGCCTGTGATGGCTCTCCAGATGAATAGTATATTTAGAATCAGGTAGACCCAGCTTGACGTGCTGGATAGGCCGCGCAACTGCATCAACTGCTGCTGCAAATCCTGCTCCGCAGCTTCTCCTCCCTCCTGTCCATCTTCTTGCTGCATCCTTTGTCGTTCGTGCTCCTCCCGTTTGGCTACCTTCTCCTGCTGTCCTTGATGCCCGGACCCGTCTTCCTGCTTCACTCGCTGCGATACTTGCAACGCCTGATGCATTGCCGCTGCTGCTTCTGCCTCTTGCACGTCTTGCTGCGCGCCCTCCATCTTGTGCTTCATCTGCAGCTCTTGCTGCTGCTGCTGCTGGTCTTGCTGTGTTCGCTTGAGTGCGTCTGTCTCTTCGTAAGTACCAGAGAATGAAGCTCCTGCTTCACGCTGCTGACGTGGCTGCTGCTGTTGCTGTAATGTCCACGGGTCCATCTGTTGCTGCTCGTTCTTATTCTGCTGCTGCCAGCAACGAAACTGCCGCTTCGCTGTTGTGTAGCTACAGCAGCGCGTCGCGTAGAACCACCAGCAGGCATCGTACGCCCGGCGCACCAGCCATATCAGACCGAGACAAGGAATATACACCCCGTGGACAAAGGGAAACATGATCAGCAACAGAACTAGGAACTTGACGCGAAGGCAGAGCTCTGACTCTGACTCATAATGCTGCAGCTGCCGCAGCCACTTCGCGACAGTAACTGTCGAAAAGACTGGGCGTGAGGAAGAAGCACAGCCAAGCACATGTTCGCCGAGGGCCTTCAGCAGCGGCGACTGGCCCCGCCGCTGTCGCAGCACTAAAGGCTGGACAAGCTGCAGCAGCAGACGCACCAAGGGACGTAGCCGGAGACGTAGTAGCCAGGGCTCATGATGAGCCTGGGATAAGAGCGTCCGACCCTTCGAAACCTCGTACAATGAGTGAAGCGGCTGCTGGAGCTGACTTGTAAAAACAGAAGCAAATGCATGTGTGTACGAAAACACAGTCTCTTCCCTAGGAGGCTTTCCCTCGCACGCGGACTGCTGTAATGTCTCCCCGCGTCCCGCCACACGTTCTCTCTCTACCTTTCTGAACTCTCTGTTCTGTTTCCTTTCCCCTTGAGGAGCGGCGAGCTTCTGCTTCCTTCTTCTTACAGAACTGGGATAAGTTGGTAAAATGGGCCGATAAGCGTTTGAACAGAGACTCCTCAGATTTGCCCACGTCAGCCGGAGCCAGTAATGCTGTTCCGTGCATCCTCGGGAAGGTGTGGCTTCTGTCCTCGGTGTTGCAACCTTTCTCCACGATTTCCGGAATGCTGACGCTCGGCAGACGCAGCCTGCCCTCCTCCTCGCCGGCGCGGGCGCCTCTCTGATGCTCAGTCAGGCCTGGAACTGGTCCTCTTTCTTCGTTCTGTGTTTCCGGTGTGAACCCTTCTGCTGTGAACAGCTTGAAGAAGTGACCAAGCCAGTCCCCGCCAGCAGCTTCTTCTCCTGTTTTCCCATCCTGGACGTTGGAGACTGCACCATATCTTGGGTGGACACGCTGACTTTCCTCCGCGATGTTGCGTTCACTGCGACGTTTGCTTCTTTTTAGTTTTTTTGTGACGCCCGGGCCATCCCTGCGGCAATCGTGAGCGATCTTAGCGCCTGGAGAGCCTTGCATCAGGGAGGAAATGCAGGAACTCCGCTCGTTGGTACTCGTATCATGTTCTTCTCCTCTGCTGCCTTGCTTAGTTCTGCAGCGCCTTTCCCCTCCTCCACGCGGCAGGGGCGGCGTCCCTTCGCAGCCGTATGCGGCATACACGTGCGGCATCTGGCGGTCCTGCACGTCCATATCGAGTAGCTGCTGGTCATCTGTCTCCGCCTCGGCGGGGGAATCACTAAGCTTGTACGATTCCTCTGCAGCTAAGTCCAGCGGGGGGGCAGATGGTCGCCTCCTGCTTGTGTGAGAGAAGCGCGGCCGTGTCGTGGACTGTAGGAGCAGTGTCTTGAAAAGGAGTAAGAGCTTCCGTATTGCTTGCTGAAGTAGAAGCAGTATCAGAGAATGGACATGAATCTGACCGCTTCGCCATTTCCAGTAGAGCATTCCCAACCTTTGGATACGTGGCTGGCGGAAAAGTGGGTAGTTGTGTGCGTACCAGCCAGGATTTCCTGACGTGCGCTTTCCTTGTCCGTCGTAGAAGATCAGAGGCGGAGGAGGAATGGGATATAGTGGTGCCTGCGTAGGGTCTGCTAGCGGCGCTGCAGCTGTCTTAATCACTATGGAGGAAGGAGAGCACTTGCAGCAGCAGCAACAGCAGATGCTGCAGACTTTCAAAGGCGACTCAGAACGGCGCGTATTCCTCAAGATGCGTTCTTCACTCGAGATCTTCCTTTCTATCCAGTGGAGAATTGACATCACTAAACTCCACCCCCCCCTGCTGCGGCAGTAGTCTTCAGCCGAGGAATGGCCTATGCTGCAGACGCTGGGGGGCTGACTGCTACTTGTTCTGACTCCTGATACGTGTGTAGAGACCATCGACGGTCCTCGTGACCCCCTGCTGCTGCAGTGGCTGATCTTTGGCACCGCAGCTGCGGCTGCCGGCAACGGCCAAGACCCCGCGACAGCCTGCAAGAGGAGCGCCCAATTGTCCGCGCGTCGTCCCGTAGTTTTGCGTAGATTATTTACCCATTTCGTGTCTGCAGCGCCGTCTGCGGCGCCATCCGCAGCGCCACCTGCAGCGCCGTCTGCGGCGGCCTCACCGTCGACTGCACCGGCACTCTCGGATACGTGGACAGCAGGGTCCGCACCTGTTTTTGTGAGATAGTCGCTGGCCTGCTGCAGTGCCGCCCGCGAAACGCTAGAGTTTGTCTTCAGTTCACGTTGCTCCTCTTCTGCAGATTCTATGCTCGCAGGTGTCGCAGTGCGACCTTTCGCCTCTTCTGCTGACCTTGTGCGGCTGCCTGTTGAAGTCGTGGGGGGCGTCAGTGCAGCCGTGGACACGGCCACTTCGTCACCTTGACACTTCGGGGGAGATGCTGCTTCGCCGGGTAAAGCGTTCATGGCGTCATACTTGTCCTCCACGGATGATGAGGATGGTGGTGAGGACTCCGCAGGAGAAGAAGAATCAGATGAGGATAAACTTGAAGAAGAGTCGTGCTCTGCGGGAGCGCCCGCCTCTTCGCACGGGCAGGCGGCACCATCATACGAGGAAACCGCCTCTTCAGTGATTTCAGGCGTGTGTGCACCAGCACTAGAGGCAACAGCTGCTTTAGTGATTTCAGGCGTGTGTGCACCAGCACTAGAGGCAACAGCTGCTGTAGAGATTTCAGGCGTATGTGCACCAGCACTAGAGGCAACAGCAGCTTTAGAGGTTTCACGCGTGTGTGCACCAGCACTAGAGGCAACAGCTGCTTTCGTGGTTTTAGACGTGTGTGCCGCGATATCCCCGTTGAGGCAACCGCTACTGCACTCCCTCCGTTGCGGGGACTGCGGAGATTCCGGCATTTCGACTTCTTCTCCACGCGCACCAGGACTGCCCTTTTCCGAATCGCATTCTTGAAACTCTTCCGCCTCTGGCGGGCGCTTCGGCGCTTCCTGTTCAGTTGACAGCTGTCGAGAGCAGACGGTTCGCACGTCCCCTCGCAACGTCTCCAGTAGCTTCAATCTGGAGATTCTCCTCTTTGCATCTTTGAAAGTCGTGCGTCTCCGTGTTGTGACTCAGCTCTTTACGCGTAGGCGGTCCTGGTGTCCTCCCGTGAACGCCTGTCCCCTCTCCGGCGGAGTCCTTCAAGGATACCGCCACGGCCCCCTGTAAATTCCTTTCTAAAGATTGTCCTCCAGTTTGCTTCTGTTGTACTGTTTTCACTTCCGGCACCGCATGGCTGCTGTCACTGTTGTCTGCACCTTCGGCGCGTAATCGTAGTAGTGAGGCTGCCCTTTGTTGGCCGACCGTCTCTAAGAGCGAGGGGAAAAGATGCCCGTTCTGCGCAGCTGCCACCGGCCGCACGGCTATGTGCCCAGGTACAGGCACCACGTGTGTTCTCGGTCCCTCAATACAATTTTCCTGCCGTGACTGCCGCCGCAGGTCAGCAAGCGCACCTCCGAGGCGCCTCTCACCAGTTGTCAAGGGATGAAATCGTAGGCTTGAGGCGTCGCGTGCACCGCGCCACTCTGCATTGGCTTCCTGTCGAGTTGCCACGTATGTCTCGTAGCCTGGTGCGTGTCGCTCAGGTACAAATGAAAAACTCAGCACACCTTGGCTAGGCTGTACGACGCACTGAGTAAGCACTCTGTTGCAGTGCCACGCGTGCTGACGGGGAGGGGACGGCGGCAATGTGGCCAGCAGGCTCACCTGTCGCAACCGACTGGCGTACAACGCGGTATTGTAAAGGATCTCTCTGGGATCATGTCGCGCCACGGTATACGGAGGAGTTTCTGGTTGCGATGCCGACTTGGCCACAAAGAACCGCGCACCCCTGTGCCGTCGCCTAAAAATGCACGATGGTGTTCCGAGGGCGGCGGAAGCAGCGTTGGGCAACTGCAAGGACGCTTCTCCTTTCAGCGGTGGGGGTTGCTTCAGTCGAATGACCGAATGGTCCGCGCTTGGGGAATTCAGTTTCATTGTAGAGACGCCGTAGGATACTGCGTTGTCCGCGTAAGATTAATGAAAGGTTCGCTCACCGTAATTGGCACAGCAGGCATCTCACGCGCGAAGGCTCCGCCTTCGCGTTCGCTGACGGTAGAAAACTTGTGCTTCCGGCGTATGATACGCAACGACAGGCTGGCCGAAAAAGATTCAGCTCGGCGCTTGTAGGACGAACGCCGGTAATGACCGTTCTTATTTCGTGTACAAATTCAGAATATATGGCCTGCAAAGCTCAAGCGGCAATCTCAAAACAAATGGCCTGCAAAGCTCAAGCGGCTGTGTTGCTCTGCGTCTCCGCGGGGAAGCATTTGTCTTAGCCTCGGGCACACAGAGAGCGCTGTTGCAACAGTTTGCGTTGCCCAGGTGCGCTGTCGCTTGCATGAACCGCGATGTCTGCGACAAACTACCCACCCTCTGACGGCTTACATCGGCACGACGGGTTACGCTGCACACTGCGGGCCAGAGTTCCTGGTCTCTGTTTTCTGATCACAGCCTGCATACGAGGATACTGTCGTGCTTTTGAAGCACGCGTGACACTCAAAGATACGGCTTCTGCCCGTAAGCAGATGTACGCTAAGCAGCCAATCGAGGTCCGTTGACGGCTATCCCCTATCTCTATACGTACAACAGCCGCCACAAACCGGACGGACATGGAGACAGCAAACACTATCGCTTCAGCGTAGCTTAGGCTACTGACGCTGCCCCCTACTGAAGCAGGCTCTGCCTCAAATCTCTGCTGCAAGCACGCGCGACATCCGATGAGAGGGCCTCTGACTGCGAGCAGACATACGCAAAGCAGCCAACCAGGGTCCGCTGACGGCTGTCCCCCGCCTCTATACGTACATCAGCTGCCACAAACGCAAGGGACAAGGAGACAGCACATATAAGTCCTTCACTGTAGTCCAGGCTACTGACGCTATCCCGTACTGGAGCAGATCTCCGCTGCAAGCCACATCAAAATATCTGCCCCCTGCGAGACCTGATGGGAATACCGCAACTCTCTTTTCCAAGCAAGGCGGCGCCACTTTGTTGACTTCTTACCAGGATTTGCAGGTATCCACGGACAAGTTCTACAGCTGCAAGAGTCACAGCTTACGAATTTGCGGGAGACCTGCTACAGGTTCAACGGAATTAGTTGCGACGGCCCGAGAAAAGTAGGTAACGCAAAGGATAAGCCTTGGCAACTAAAGAGACTCTTCTCGCGGGCGCCTACATTATGCGCCGGCAATAAGGCCCCTGCACAAGGGATATGAGCGTGCAAGCAGTCGCGTGCATTGGTCATGTGGAGACACATGGACGCCCTCGGAGAACGATGTGCTTCTCAGCTTCCGCAACGGAAACAAAAAGCTCCGTATGCCAAAGATGCACGACTAGACTGCTTGCAAAATTTATGAGTCCTTGATCGGAAGTCTGCACGAACACAAGACCTGCTGAGAAACTGTATTCCTCCTTCAGCCTGGCTACGCAGACGCTGCGAGCGCGTCGGAGATGCACACACTATTAAGCACACGCGACGAATGTAAGCCTGCGTGCGGTCGAGTAGATCAAGCATTTGTAGACACGCCGACGAGATTGAAATACGATGTGCTGCTCAGCTTTTGCAAAGGGAACGTAGACTTTGGTACAACCCTGAGCCGTGACAACGTTACTAAAATATCTACGCATGGTCAGAGCATGACCCTGCAGGAAGGGGAGCCTTGCTGAGGGGAACGGCCCTGCGCTCAGCCTGGCTACGCAGGCACGCTATTGGTTGTAAACGGCGCCGGAAGCAAACAACTAGGTTGTAAAACAGCGACGAAGGACGCCGCACCAAGAATGCCTTTCTGGGACGATCAAACTTTCTACTGAAGCTGTCGTCGGTATGAGCTCGTCTACTCAGCGAATATACGTCCATACATTCACATACATTTGCGTTCCCAAACATCACTGCACCGAGGCTTATGTGCGCGGGCACTCCCGTGAAGCTGTCCTTCACTAAAGTGCCTCCCTGTGTAGGCATGATACCACAGTGGTGTGGGCGGACCACTGACGCAAAGTCATAGGCGATCGTTAGGAAAAAAACCAAATTGGACGACGCGTACGGTGTTTACCCACGAAGTCTGCAGTTACATGTGGCCCCTAATCGAGACCCGCCCCGCGTGTTTTACGGTACACGTGGAAGAGGGGAACATAACAGGAAGAGAGCCCCCACGCACAGTAGCCTGCAAAAAAGGAAAGGCTGTACCATGGAAAGCCAGAGCAACGAACGGCCTGACGCTGCGCAACACTGAAGCTGCAGGAATCTCCCTGAGCTGCCAGTGTGGAAGCAAGCGTAGATGCAGCCCGAGACGTCATGAATTCCTGGAGACTACAGCACGAATCGTGGGAGAACATGCGGAGAGCCACCTCAAGGCGCTACCGCGCAGAAGGACTGAACACAGAGGGAGGCTGCGTTGGAGCCTCGGGTACACGACATGCACAAGGCTGTGTTGTTCGACATGGTGAAACGCCACAAGGGGAACGTTTCTTTCTTCTTTGAGAGCCCTGTCAGGCTAAAGCGACTAATATTACGTAATGGCAAGCCCAACTGCAGTCTAAGAAGCAGGCACCAGAAGTTTAGAGCCACGCCCTTTTTCTACGGCCACCCGGCCACCGCAGGCCTACTATACGGCATCAGGCCCGCGTTCTCCTTCCGCGGTAGCTATTCCTCCGACGGATGCGCCATGCTTTCAGAAAATGAGGTGCCTTGCGTCTTGTTCGGAATGATGTGTGGGCGCTGCGCCAGTCACTTTCCTTGCAGCATGGCGGCCTAGGCGGGGCCAACCCAGAGACGGCGGCGCAGACCCAGTTGAGGAGGCGCCTTTGAAGCGCGAACTTCACAGAGTGCGGAAGTTCTATGATACACCGGGAAGAAGAGACACGCGGTCACTAGTGCCCGGCCCACGGTTGTGCTCTGCGTGGATAAGAGTGGGCCGGACCTGTCAGAGGCCAGCGTGCATCTGTGTTAGCCTTCCCTGTCAGCCCGCGTTGCCCAGAGTGAAAAAGCAGGAGCGGGTGTTTAGAAGCGCAGTCAGTACCGTGCGTCGTACGGCGGCGTCTCATCCACGTCGGCATCTGGTATGTCGTTGCGCCACACTTGTGAAAGACGAGTCTTTGCCGCGAGGTTACGTATGGGGACTACTACCCCACAGGAGCGCGCGCTGCGCCGCTTCAGCGACTTGAGGGGCTGCACAAGGAAGGATGTCTACTTTGCGGCTCATAACCGGCCTCAAAACGGATCGACTACGCGGAAAGCTGCACGGCCGAGCGCTGCTTCTCACCCTGGGCACAGTCCACGCATATCGGTGTGTACGCACACACGTGTGTATGTGGAGGCCTGTAGGTGGGCGGTGCCATTCGCGTGCTCAAAAACCTCGGCAGACAGAAAAGAGACCATGTACTATCCGTCCCAGCTGCGGCCAATACACACAGATGCGGCCTAGTGGCGTAGTCAATCGCCGCACACCGATGAGACAAGGACAGCGTTTACTTTCGGGTCGCAGGAGGTCTGTGCGTAACACACGTGGCGCCTTAGGCCGCTTAGAGGAAAGAGAGGCCGACGGTCTTCATAAGCAGCATCTGTCTGTGCTCCGGTAAATGATTGCGGCCAGACGGATGTGGGCTGATGAGAAAGACAGACGCCAGTGGGGAACAGACAGCTCCGCCGGATCGCGTGCATGCCTTGCAGTATCTGCGGGTGCCTCTGTTTGCTGCACATGCGCGTCCAGAACATGAAGGAAGAAGTACGCTGTGGAGGGAACTACTGTCAGTGAACCAGAGTCGTTTTGCCGGTCCGTGGAACGGCTAAACTCGTCCGCCAGGCTCGCGGGTCAGAGCATGGGGCTTGGCTTGGCCTGTCGAAAGCTGCCGGAGGTGCCTGGATTCACAGCAGGAGATCCCGGCTAGGTTATCGACTGTTGGATCGGAGATGCAGCCGTAGTCTGTTCCATAGCCCGGGAAGAAGGCGTACTGCGATCTTGCAGAGGCTCGCGGGGTTGCTGGGAAGCACCTCCGAATGTCAGTGAGGAGGGCGGAGACACAGCGGAGCCTGCAAACCTCCACAGGTCAGCAAGTGGTCCTAGGCAACGCGGAAATCCACAAAACATCCAGAATAGGGCGCTGGCCGGTGTCGGCGCGGGAGCGGTGAAGACGTGGAAGTTCGCGAAAATGTCTCCAGATACCGCCGACGGGGGCTCCCTTTGCGTGAGGGAGCAAGCTAGAGAATTATTCGACGGTTTCTGGTGAGGAAGGACGCACAGGAGCACCACTGGAAACCCTTCTTGTCCCCAGACATTCTTTCCTGGCACGCCAGCAAGAGCATCTCGGATACCAGGGAGAGCTGGAAAGGGAAACCAACGGTACAAACGTGGACATTGTCTACAGAAGTGCGGGGACATATAGCGCTGCAAATGAGTAAGCACAGCGCTTCACACGCGCATATGCCGGCGCCGCTGCAAATTTCCATGCGAGGCCTCTGTGGAAGTTGAGAGTGATATGAACTGTTCGGGAAGCGTCCGTGTGACGCAGAAAGCAGCCCCAGGCTGCTGCGCGGCTGGGACTACTGGGCGGCGCCGCTCCGCCGCAGCAGCGCTCGGACGGCTGGACCACCCACCTTCCGCAGATACCAAAAACAATCCAGACCCTTTGAGCACACGTTCACAACGTCTAGTGAGTAATCAGCAATCCTTTTTCGTTACGCCTTCTAGACTTGGCATGTGCTTCATCCAGGCATGGAAAACCGAAGAGAGTGTCTGACCGCGTGCGCCGGTCTCACCCAAGGCGTGTGCCCTGGCATAGAGGACTGCCTGGCACACCGACCTTCACGCCAATCTGCTTTCTCGTGCCGAAAACATCTCCTAGAACATACAACTCCCACGGAGGTGAGTCTGTACACTGAAGAGAAGAAGCCGGTTCTGTCACCCTGCGAAGTGTGGAAAGGAGCGCGAAACCGTCAGGGTAGCCCGTAGCCCTTATGCACAGGACGGAAGGCAACATCCGTGTCTCCGCGACGGAAGATTTTAGAGAAGAAGAGCGCAGCTTTATTTGAAGTTCCACGGTAGCATGCACCTGCATCCTAAAAGATCCTGCTGTGCTCTGTGTCCTTCTGGCCGAGGAAGCCGCATACCGTCTCCCTGTGCGCTGTCAGGCTGACAGCACGAAAAACTTGTAAGAGTATATAGGCTAGTATTGAAGCGACCTCCGACTATACGTCCCTGGGTGCGACTATAGCAAGAAGACATAGCCTTTTGAGACAGTAGCTGATGCAGATGCATTTTTCACCGGTAGTCAGGAAGTCCGCGCACGCGTGCCCGCAGCGCCCATGCCAGACAATGAAATCCAGGGCTACCCTTGAAAGCAGCACACGGCAGCGGGCAGTAGCATACCCAGGACAACCCGCCGAAATATTTGGCAATTCTCATGCCCCAGTACGCTCGCCGGTTTGCTATTCTCCTCAAGAAGAGAATACGTAGACATAGAAGTCATGAAGCGTTCTACCGTAGCCGTCCTCTGTCCTTGCGCGCTGGATGCGGCTGTGAAACAATAAGGCGCTTCTCTTTGGCCCTGAGCACCTTTTTCGAAGTGTTCTTGTGCAGCCTTTAGATACCGCTTGTCTTAGCAACATGTGCATTGTCAGCGCTCTACTTTCCTCACAGAGCTATGGAAGGACGCTAAGAATAAGACACGTCCAGCAGTTTAACAAAGCGTTGCACGTACGCAGCACCCCTGTGACACCTTCACGTTCGCGTCTGAGAGGCATTCCATGCCTGCTCTTGCAGAACCATGCAGTTTCGACCGCGGGTCCCATGCTACCTGGCCTCCCGTTCAACGATAAAGATGTGCTGATGATGCTTTCGGGGCCACTGTTACGCGTGAAGCGCAGAGAGGGAAGCAGATGGGGGAGTTGTGCAATATATCTCTGGACTCAAAGGCAGAGCTTGAGTGACAACTATCAATGCGGGTTCACGTGCGTGCTACTCCGCTCACAAGTAGGGTATTACGATAACTCTCACCATATACATTTGCCTACAGCTGTGCAGTTACTCTGCAGTTCGCGTCGTTCGTGGAGTCTACGGTCAGGACCGTGAAGGCCCGTGGTTGCCACAGTTAGACAGCTGCATACGTGAGCACCTAGAGTAGAATTCCAAGGTCTCTGGTGATCGTGGCTTGAAAGAGCGATGCGCCGGCCTGTGTATTGAATGACGTCAGTCCTTTCAAAGTCTGCGAGAATTTCTGCGTTCCTCTCTTTTTTCGCTCTTTCGTGTATTAGTGCATGGTTTCACACGCTCGGGTCCGCTTGGTCAGCAGGGGTCACAGTGACGAGGAAAGACCACCATTATGTAAGCTCCCACAGAGCTCTTGCGTCCGCGGAGTATTTTGGCGGAAGCAACGTCCCAACTCTATGGACTAAGGCTTCGTCCGTCGCGCAGGAACGCACCTGCTGGAAGCTGCTACTGTGTACCATTCGCACTCCATGAACACCTAGCTACGTATGGTGGGCGACGTTTCCTCGGATCTAGAAGGCCCGCCTGCGAGGAAGGGTAGCGGTGACACTCTGTACTGCCGTTAATTCTCCATGAGTACTGGGTACCGACTCGGGGTCTTCTCGGGTGCGCAGACCTGATGCACGGAAGATATCCTATGTTGGCAGCTGGCCCGAGCAGCAGCCACGGGAAGCGCAACTCCGCGCATATACTGGAATTCCAGCGTGTTGCTGCTAAGACGGGGGCTCCTGTAAGCAGCGGCCCCCCATGCACGCCGACTACTCAAATAGGGAAACAGACAAAGCTAGCGTAGACTTCCTTGCTGTGCGGGCTGCTCCGCGAACCGACGTAACGCTTTCAGAGCAGGCAGCTTGTCAGCAAGGTCATTACACTCGTTTATGCAAGGACGCGTCGCTCTCTTGTCGTAGCATCGCGATTTTTCAGTGGTGTCGGTCATCAACAAGAAAAACTTCAAGAGAGCAATAAAAAGCGAAGCAGCCGCTCTCTACCTTGGCGTGCACCAGCTTACACCCTAAATTCTCTTCTTGTACCTCGGGGGCGGAGTAAGTGGACGGAACGGGTGGTCCACACGTAGGGCGCGCCCGGCCGCGGAAGTGTATCCTGACGGCGAGGGTCTGTGGAGCCGACCTGAGAACGTATCGGAGACGGATGAATAAGTATTGCCGTACGCATAAACGTTACATAAGCGTGGTTTCTGCGAGTTTGCACCTACAGCTGTGTCTCGCACGGCGGTGCGCGCAGAACACAAAGCGAGATCCCGTATACACGTACTCTCGTTCTTTCGCACGTATGTGAGCAAGAGATTGTATGCGTCGGCGACTGTGTTTCTGCGGCATGCCTGTGTGCAGGTTGGTACACCCTTGCACGAGTAGCTATACGCATAGTCTACGAGTCACGTATAAAGACTGAAGCGCATACAGATACCACTCGTGCACACGGATTTCCAGTAGCGCATCCGCGTGCCTTCATCCCGTACTTGCCATGCGTGTGCGACGCGGCATATGTGTAGCTACATAGGCAAGCATGCAACCTCTTCGGCTGCACCGCAGGTAACAGTTTCGCAAGTACACAGATCCGGTAAGAATGTATCAGAGTATCCATTTTATGTTGCAACGCGCCAGACAACCCGAAGGCGTTATTGTTGGCGGCTTTCAGGCCACGAGGGAGGAGTAGTCCTGTTGAACATCTTTCGAAATCGTTTCAAGCAGAATATTCGACGTGCCTTCGTAGATGCTTCCAATTTTACTGTCTCTGTAGAGTTTCTCAAGGCCGTAGTCGCGTGTAAATCCATTACCGCCCAGCAGGTCGACACAAGCGCTTGACACTTTTTGTGCCACGCGAGATGCGACTAGCTTTGCAATAGCGGCCTCTTTTCTGAATGGCCGCTTCGCCTCTCGGAGAAGAGCGGCGTTGTACGTTAGCAGGTGGGCTCCCTCTATTTCTGACGCGAGCTGCGAGGGGAGAGATACAAGAAGCACAACCACAAGCCAGAAAGTTCCTTGGCGCCGAAGAAGAATATTCGTACAAAGCAGGGAAGCCGTACTGGTTACTCTGCGGGTTAGGGCTCTTTAGAAACGCACTCTACTTACTTTCCGCGCTACCTCGCGTGTCACAGGAGCACAACGGGCTTGCGCCAAGCTGCCCGTATTCTTCTCGCCAGCAGTAATGCCGCCAGTGAACGTAAGACCCAGACACGTAGTATAATACTGCCAATTATACGAGCACGAGCAGCTGGGGCGACACTCGTACGCGGCCTACTAGGGGTCGAGCGGTGCAAGGACACTACACAAAAGAGACACATTCAGTGTTCAGCACCTCTCTTTCCTCAGCGAGAGCCTCCTAACATATATATTTGACAGCCTTCTCGCTTGAAGCCCGACGTGTGGGCATGTTTCGATGGAGTGCTCTGCGTCTGCATCGTCGGATGACACCCTTTCATGCTGACAGCGCTCAATACACCGCGTAAGCCGAGATATGTCGTCACCGCGCGCGCTAACGTGCCCTGTGCGCGTACGCATGTCGCTCGCAGTCATCAAAGCTAGCGATGTGCGTCACCCTTGAATTCTGGGGCGCAGAGGCACATCCCGAGCGCCGCCCACCACGTGTAACTCCGTGCGGCGCGCGCACTTCCTTTTAATCTATGGACTGTGGCGCGCATTAGAGCCCGCCGCTGGGGCAAGAGCGAGATCGACAGACACAATTAAGCGAGAAGTGACTGGAAGGCGCGTCGCGACCATTACGCGCTCCTAGCTGGGCTACTACTTCGCACTATTCTATCCTGGACGGCGCCGTGTCTGCGGCTGCCGCTAGGCTTTGGCGAGTGCGAATGAAGGGAGCTTTCGCTGCAGTGAGTGGCCTACACGGCTTTTCCAGGCCCCGCCGTGGCCGGCTCGTAGAGTATGTATCAGGGGACCGGCGGGGCAACCGGCCGGCATCAGATAAACATGGACGCGGACGGGCACGCCCTAGCCTGCTTACAACATATACGCAGAGACGCTGGCGCCTGCGTCCGCTCGGACATGCCTTCGTATCGTTTGAACAACGCGAACAAATCTGCCTCAAGCGCTTTCAAAGCCTGGGAGACGCTGAGAATCCTACTGGAGTCGGCTATGCGGTCTGACACGTACCTCTGCGCACTGGAATCTCACACCTTGGAAGTCAATGATCCGCTGTCCGAACTGCTTTCGCTCGTGTATATACCTAAAAGCTGCGTCGAACGCCCCCTTTGCCAAGCCGACCATCTGCGCCGCAATGCCTGTTCTCGACAGACCACACTGTACATGAATGCGAAGTTACGACCGTGGCCTCCACATCGACCGCACGCTGTCAAAAAATGCGGGCTTGACGAGCTCCTTCTACGCCAAGAAATGCAAATACAGGTGTGCAGCAATTTCTACACGCAGCTCTCCACCGGTACTATTTACACGTGGTCAGGCGTGAGGATCGCTTAGGCGCTGCTATGGTACTTAGTGCCCCGCTGTACAGTGTACTTATGCAGCGTCTTCCCCCAAGCGCCGCGTCAAAAAGCGGCCTCCTGACGGGCCGCCCCAGTTAGTGGCACAGCTGTCCTCGCACCTGTAGGTCTGGTCTTGAAATCACCCAGTCGAACAGCGCGAGCTCTGCGCCTAGGTGTCCACAAGAGGAAACCGCCTGCACTCGCAGCTCTCCCTAATAACGACGTATGACGCAAACTTCGTGCTGACCCCCGACGCACATTCGTCATTGTGGAGAATACAACGTCGTGCGGCGCATTATATGCGCCTGAAGCGTAGTAGCTGGCACAAGTATGTACTACAAGTACATGTACAAGTATACGTACGCGTCTAAGGCAAGAGAATGCGTTCTTGAGCCTTGCACGGTGCCTCCGTGTGTGGCAGCGTGCTACGCCCTGCTGGAAGGCGACATGACGTACGTTCACAGAGCTCGCCATCTCGGAAACAGAGCGCTCTCAAAAACTATGGCATCACTCAGGTATATAGTGCTGTTTCTCGAGTCTGCGCCCCTGCTCGTGTCGCGTGCTGTACACCTTCCGACCCGGGCGCACCATCATGGATCGCGGCATTGTATTCGACTGCACAGCTCGCCCGCGCTGCTCAAGGCTTGCAGCGGGGTCTCTGTCACCGGCACGACGGTTATATTACGGTTCAGTCGGGAAGCCGCACCTACGGGCGGGAGAATAACTGGAGAAGAACATTGCGCGCTTCTCCACACTTTGAGTGGTAGAGGACGCGGAGCCTGTGGAAGAGTGCTTGCTGCGAGCCCTGCTACTGCTGCGATATTGACGGACAGTGCTGTATGGCCATGACCGAACCAAGCAGAGCTTGCACTACTATATCCCGCTGCGCTATCGAGCTCGTGTGTATCGGGGAATATCACGTCCTGCCGTCGATCTTTCAGTATGACATTATGCTTCATAGTCACACAAGTCATCACGCAGTCCTTCATCCATATACAGAGCAATACCTGAGTGCAAGGATAAAACAAAGACGCGTAAAGGGTCTGACGGAGCACGCTGTTGTAGGCAGTAGCCTCCTCATAGCGGAAGCGCTTACCTATGCGTCCTTCGTTGAGCAGAGACATAGCGACTTTGTAGCCTTCGCCCACCTCCCCTAAAATGCAGTCTTCGGACACCTACGAATCACAGGGAGCCATGTTCGCACACATATACGGATCTCATGAGTCCGCAGAACGCCGAAGCAGTAGACAGAGCGACAGACGGGGATGGACGAGAGTGTAACGCCACGTAGGTGGACTCCTGTCCGCGTACACTATCGTCTGCACCTGATTTCGAAGCCCACCAGACATAGATGCACGGACCGACTAGCTAAGACCGCAGAGGGGCGATCCACACACAAAGACATGAACATGTAGCAATTCAAGACAGGAGGCCGATCTCGCTCGAGTGGAGCAACACACTCCTCGCAAAAGTCAGGCGGAGGTTCGCCACTGCGCCGCTGACCGGTGTGCGGCCGGTTTTCTGTGGCGCCGCGAGATACCAAAGGGAAGCGGCAGCCTTCCAAAGCAGAGCCTGATGAAGCTGCAGGTGCAGTGGGTGACGTTCATATTTACAAATGACCGACCGAGAAAACTGCCCCCTGTCCTGCTGCACGAACATGCTGATTCACCATACATATACTTGCATGGAGGCAGATACACAATCTGTGCCGCCGACTCTGCTGTCGAGGCACGGATCGGCACATGAGAATTCTCGCGGCAGCACGAATGTATATATGTGGATACGTATCTGCGTCACCTGCGCACGCAGAAGGTACTGCATTCCTGCGAACGGCACTGCTACCTTCCTAAATATAACTAGGTTCGCGCATGAAAGACGTACTTTACTGGAGTCACATCACCAGGTGAACCGGCACACAGATCTACAGCTGTAGAAACGCATATCCTTACGCCTGCTAATACATATGCTGCTGCCCACAACACGGGGTCGCTACGTGCACATAAGCCATGCGCTCCGGACGACCCTGTGAATATACACAGATATATACGTACACGTGTACCTGCGTGTGTGTGCCTACGCACACAGATAACTTTATACATATATGGATATATATATGTACACATGTATATAAGTGCCCAATAAAGACGTTCTCCGGCTTCGACATAGAATCACAAGGCGTAAAACGCGCTCTCGCGTTACAGATGAGGTACGCGCGCGTACCTGGATGAAACTTCGAGTCGACGCTACTAAGTACATCAAAAAAGGAGAAGTCGTCTGCGGGTGCAATAACGTCTTGAACGCAGCATGTAGCCGGCGGCCCGTACCTCTACATCATCGAAATGTACCGGGCACGTAGACGAAGCTTTGATGCCCAATTTCTGCAGCGGCGGACCCACGTGAAGTCCCGGAGACCCTGCGCCGACCAGAAATGCCGTAATACCCTTACGCCCCTGGATAAAAAAGACGCGGCAGACGACATGAGAAGATGTCAAGTCAGTTTCACACACGAACAGCCGCGGACGTGTCACCGACACACCCTCGTGTCTACATCAGCGTCCTGATCCTGCGCAGCACGCACACATATGTGCATACGTACATATGTATCTATATATGTACGGGTCTACCTATCGCTCGCTACGTACGTTTGTGTCGGCCTCTGCACCTACCGAAGACACGTGTTCCTGTTGTATGCACACCTGCCTCCATTCATGTATCTACCTACGTAAGGTACAGGCATATTTGGCGTACAAATATACATACGTATGGGTGTGGGTATATATGGACATCTACATCGTAGACAAGTATATACGCTGTACACACGCACACGAGAAAGCACGCATACACATGTCTCCCTTACATACAAACACATATACACCAGATACGCACCCCTCTGGTTCACGTGTGTCTGTACACGTTTGCAAGAGGCGGGAAGTGGAGATGCGTCGAGACTGAGAGCCAGTCCAGGGCTTTCACGAGCCCTCCTACGCCAGAGAGCCGCTGGCGCTGGACATAGGATTAACCCCAGACAGCGGGCTTCACTCAGCCATTGCGAACCAGCACGTCCTGATCAGTCCGTGAAGATGCTGGAGATTTTCTACTCAAGGTCAATACCTCCATGCTTCTTTGGAATAGCAATTGCTCCTATACCGCGCGAAGTGACTGAGACTGGCCCGGGTCATGCAGCCCGTGCCAGTTGCTAGACGCAAACGATCCAGGCTCACGATGGAGTGTAGTAAAAGTAACGGACACGTCCACATCCGGTCCTCATCCGTGTCCGTTTACGTGTACGGGAACAGATGTCCGCAGATGCCGGCGGTATGCCTTTGTATACGGGCCCTCGAGCGGCCAGCTATATATATACTATATATATATATATATATATATATATATATATATAATTTTCTTGTGTATGGGCGATAGCGCGCGGCTAGAGATATACATGCGTGTCGTGTAATCACGCCGATATATACAAGCAAATGAATGATGTCCCGTCAAACCAAAACACCGGCGCCTTTATACGGACCTATACAATCAGACGCATACATGCTGAAACTTCCTCCTGCACTTTGTTGTGCTCTGCCCTAGTTAACGAAGACACACCAGCCCGAACACATATACAGCGTGCAAATAGGCGGCTCCGCCGATCCGGTTGGCAGTCCACACCGACTTAAAGCCTTTACGCCCCATGATTGGAGGCACCCACCCGCCGGGAGAGGCCGGTATCCTTCCACAAACGTCAACATGATTTCTCCACCAGGGGAGACCACGAATGCACATGCCTACTCATTCGCTTTGGATCCACGAAGTTCCGCTGTGCACAGTGATGGGAAGCCAGCACGTATCTGCACGATGTATGCGCGAAGTTGTGGGCCGACCGCCACCCGAAGTCGCGGTTTATATTGCTCTGGTCCGCTCTCTCCGGATCTGTGCCTCCACCGTATACGCAGACGAACATGCAACAGCAGGACCACACGATGACCGCAGCTCTCCAGCCAGGCTTTCGCAGCCAGAAGAAAGGTACACTTCCCTATCTGGCGGCCTGGAGGCCGATAGCGGAGTAGGAAGACTGCGGCCTCTTCTGTCAGCGGTGACGTAGGGGGGGGTGTACGACAGGCCCTCGCTACCAACCGCGTGAGGCCGGCCGTGTGTCCAAGCTCCAATATCCGCGCAGTAGGTGCACCATGCGTTCGTGCGCGTGTATAGTGACTACGCCCATACGCACTCGTGTAGGTGTCCTGTGTTCCACAACTAGGAAAACGCTGCCTGTGGAGTGTGCTGCTGCCAGACAAGGGAGAGCTGCTGATAGAAGGTTTGACTTATTAAGGTCGAGCGGAAGGGGGATAGGACCAGTTGTGCACGGGTGTCTTCTAGCCGTGCATGACTCTGTTCCCGTCCCCATAATTTTGCTGCCTCATACACTTTTCCACCGTTGCCCCTTTCCGAATCGTGAGAGGGACGCCGTGGTGGCGAAGCCGCTAATCGTGTTGTGTAACACTTTCAGCCGCTCATGGGCAGCCGGTTCACCCTTTTCTCGTCTCAAAATATTTAAAAAGGCGGCGTGATGCCAAAGTCACATGCAAATATTTTTATTTATCTACCTGTCTATCTATATGTATATATATATATATATATATGCGTACGTTGCATCGAGGTTTCGGCTGCGCACGACTGCATGTCCACTGGACACGCCGTCCGCAAGAGGGAGCCTCCCTGCTGGAGCGCTGTTCAGCAGAAGAACAGGGCAGCACCGTACCACCTTGAGGACGGCAGCAGGAGACTCATGGGGTAACCGTGGCTGAGCTTGAAAGGCGTAGACAGACGCTCGATGCCGGTCTGTGTTTCCGCGTCTACCGCCATACCTTGTCTGGATCAACCGTGGCGAAAACGATGAAAAGGCCTGCTTCTCTCGCTGTAGATATCCATTGTTTGCCGCCCTTAAGGACCCATTTGCCGCTTCCGGTGCTGCCGTTCTTTCTCCGAGCATGAGTCTTCAAGGCGAAGGCGTCGCTGCCGCTCCCGTCTTCGCTCAAACAGAAGGATCCAAGTGCTTCTGCCGCCGCACAAGGTCGTCATCGGGCTCGCTACGGAACAGAGCGTGTGAGCAGCAGGGTGCTGCACGCCGGAGTATGTGGCGTACGTACCAGTACAGTCTGCACACATTGATTTCTCTGATATTGTGAGAAAATCTAAAGCGCAGTAAGCGGTGGTTTTAGAGACGCACACACCAAGATATACGTGCAAAGTACACGAGCAGAAAGAGATACCCGTGCCAGAGAGAAGGAGCGCAAGGACGCGTGAACGTGTAGCCTCCGCAGCTGGCCAGAGCCTTGCTGTTAGCGGCTCGACGTGGTGCATTCCTGGGCTCTGCCGCTTTCATAAGCAGCGTGCGTATCCACAAACGCCGTACACTATACACGCACATGCGTCTGCATGTGAACTCCCGTTCGCAGGCCTCGCGGAACTGTATCAGAGCACGCCTGCTCGAACCAATGCTGGTGCACCACACACACAGCTGCACACAGGATCCAGTGCCGCCTTCACGGATGAAAGCGAGGAGCTTCCGGCTGCTGCGGCGTGATAGAAGTCGGCCTCGTCGTCTACCAGAACGTGATGTCTCCATCGGTCGACCACGATCCGCGGCCGTCCCGACACATACCGAGCTTGCTTCCCGCAGTATTCGTAGGCATGCACGCATCGGCTGTACGCAAGAGAAGCGTACGGCTGAAGTGGGATTTGCAAATGGGCGTCTCGCGTGTCTTTTGATGTATAAGGGTGTCTACGCTGTCGCGCACGTGCACATGCCTGTGCAAATGGCGGCGCTGCTGAAATGATGATCAGGCGCCTACCTTGTTGCGCGGTTGCCTGCTGAAGAAAGTGCTAGTGCTGCCGGCCATACCTGAGGTTGGCCGAAAGGTCTGCGCACAGCGTGGATGCGGTGCATCTCATTGGCGTGCTGTGTTTAAAGAGACAGACAGCAGAGCGCAACAGCCTCCGACTGCTCTGTCTAAGGAGACAGAATGCCGAGAATGACAGCAGAATCAGCTGCCATTCTCCGTCCTCCTCCTCTCCTCCTGTTCGCAGAAAGACTAACTGAAGCAGGGGGGCTCAAAGGCACCCGTACATGTCAGTAAAGAGGAGAGGGCCACTCTGAGTGCTGCATTTCCGTCTGAGGCAGGGATCTACACGTGTTAGTGAGGACGGGAGGGCAATTTAAGCACTGCATTTACGCGGAAACCAGGTGGCAGTGTGTTGCTGGTGTCTCCTGCGCACACAAGCCTGCGGATGCGTAGGTCCATAAAAAAAGCCCGGCGGCCATTACGTGGACGTCGCAGATGGAGCAGCCTACGGATGACGACCCCAGGCGGTTTTGTGTATGCGTGGGTTGCTCGAGCAGCAATCGTGGGCCGGTGCACCGCACGCCCGTCCAGATGTGCAGTACTCTGCTGTATAGCGGGTGTATGCAGCAGGGGACAACGGCCCTCACGAAAACATTGCAGGACGACAGCAGAACCGACGCCGCGGCAGCGCTCCGGCTGCACGGAAGCCAGCCTACGCCTAAAGTTTACTACATCAGCGCAGGTCGAGCTAAGTTTTTCTGTGTATCCTGCTCGAAGTGACGAGCAGAAGCGGCGCCACAGCGATGAACCAGCTAAATAGTAGGCGCTTCACACCCGATGTTTACTAAACCAAACGCTTGTAGAGCGAGTTGAATGTTTCGTGTACTTGCACTGCTCCCAGTGATAAACAGAAGTGACACCGCAGCAGTGAACTAGCTTCAAGGTAAGTAGTCTACAGTCGAAGCCTGCCACAGCAGCAACAATAGCGGTAGAAACTGACCTTCTCCTCTATGTGTTGCACCTGCCAGTGAGTAGCGGAAGTGACACCCCAGCAGGAGCCAACTGCAGTGCAGAGTTTCTACACTCGTGCTATAATACTGCAGCAACGCCCGCTGAGCGAGCTGACTTACCCGGTATGTCGTGCTCCCAGCGACTACCAGAGCAGTGGACTAGCTCCGAGCGAAAGGTCTGCGCTCGAGGGTTACTCCAGCAGTAAGAATCGAGGAACGAATCGAACGGTTTTGCTACGTGCTGCAGCTCCCAGCGACTAGCAGAATTGCCACTACACCAGCAAGCCACCTTCATGTTAGTTAGTCTACACTAAAAGGCTACTTCAGCAGCACGAATCGTGAAACGTCTTTCTTTTTTCCTAGTCACTAGCAGACGTGACGCCGCAGCAGCGAACCAGCTTAACGGCAGGAAGCTTACGCTACAAGCTTACTCCAGCACCCACAACCGTAGAACGAGCTGATTTCTTTCGCGCTCCGCTGCAGCACCCAGTGACTAGCAGAACTGACACTACAGCAACAAACCATCTTAACGGTAGAACGCCGGTACTAGAAGGTTACTACGGCAGCAACAATCGTGAAACGAGTCGACTTCTTTTGCTGTACGCTCCAGCTCCCCGTGACCTAGAAACGACACCCCAGCATTAAAGCAGCTTCAAGGTGAAACGCCCACGCTGGAGATCTGCTAGTGAAGCACCTGGTGCAGATGCTGGCCGGCTTTTTTCGCTACGTGCTGCACAGGTGCTATGCATTGCTTCATTCTTGGGGTCCTGATGGAATTCTGAGACTCTTCTGGGGCGCGGATCCTTCCGCAGGGCCGCTCGCAAGCGTGATCTCGCGATGCAAACGGACTCTTATTCTTCTAACCGGGGCAGAAACCTGGGTTTTTGCTTCTTCACTATGGCGCCGCCGAAGTCCTCCGCAGTGGCTTCTCAGCCGCTGCCTTTGGCCGCAAGAAAGTGCTGCTGCCTTCTTTCAAAATCACTCGTCTAGTAGACGCCAGTGCACCGGCGGAGACGTGGTAAAGACCGTCTGAACGACAAAGTACGCTCCCCTATCCCTATAATTTGGTCACTTCACATGTCTTCTCTTCGCCGCAAAACTACAACGTCGCCCGCGTCCGCAGAAACGGTGTGTTGTGATCGCACGCCTTTGGGGACGTATATGACTGGCGCGGAAGCACTGGCAGAAAATCTGCCCGTCCCGCTTAGCTGCTCTGAAATCAGCCTTTTCGTACTCTACATATCAGTATTTCGTTGTGGGGTACCCTGACTGTAGGCAGCTATCTTCTTCCTGGCAAGCCCTGCACTGATGGACACGAACGCGTGTAACATCAAGGGCGCGCCTTCAAGTGCCTCCCCATTCACGTGCTCCGCCGTCAGTGTCTTCATATGCAACTATGAGTATTTTCTCACTATCGCGTACTCAAGCTGTAGGTGCCGTATTGCTGCTTGCGAGACTTCTACTATTGGACCCTCCGCCGTTACAACGTCAAGGGGCCACTTTTCGGTGCCTCTCATTCTTGCGTCAAAAAGGCGCTACTTGTGTTCCTCCGCTAGACATATTTGTCACTGCCCGGGCAACCGGCGCCTTCTCAGAGAATCCCCCCATAGAGAAGCTGTAGCGCGCAGCGCCACGTGCAAAGCAACTTCTTCCGAAAAGTGGTGCACAGGCCGGGTTTCGAGAGGAAGAACATACCCACGCTGAGAAAGCCGAGATAGATACGTGTACGGGCAGCGCCACGTGCATTGCACGTAAAATTCTCCTTTTCAAAACGTGGTGCAGAGAACAGGCTTTTCAATACGACAACCGAACTCAAACTGAAACAACAACGTCGAATACGTGTTGCCGGCAGCGCTAGGGGCGGGGCAACTCTTCTCTCATTTTTCCGGGAAAGTAAGGCAAAAACCGAACTCCGGAAAGTAGGAGAAAACTCACCTTGAGAAAGCTGAGGCAGATAGGTACGTTGCTGTTCCTCTGTGCCGTAAACCATCAAGCAGCGGTTAACCAAGGTGTTCTGCAGCCGTCGCACGAGTGATAGCACATCAGCAGCCGCTGCGTCGCAGGACCAGGAAACGCCGCACACTAGTTGGCTGATCCTACAGCGGCAGCCGACCATCCTTAGCAGCGAAATAACAGCATCTCGTGAAGAGGCAGTCCACGTCGTAACAGTGGTCTCCACGCCACCTGCTTGTCATTTCATCGGTCCTCACGCAACTTCAGTAGCCATAGAAGCATCTCTTCCGATACTGGAGTCACAGCTACGTGGCAGAACTGGTATCAGCAATGCAGCCTACGCAGCGGGTCGCAAAGAGATAGCAGAGAAGGGCAGCAGCAGGCGCCACGTAGCTTCGACGTGGTTGAGGAGCGCAGGCGGCGGCAGCAAAAGCTGCTGGACCAGCGGCCCCACCGGCGGCAACAGCAACAGCAGCAAGGAAGCAGCAGCGACATGTTCTCAGAACGCGTAACATGACTCGACCACCGCCACGAGCAGCGGCCGCCGCAACGGCAGCAAGAAAGCAGAAGGCACAATATTTTCACGACGCCTAGCATCACGCTGTCACTCTGCCCGCGGCAGGAGCAGCAGCAGCAGACGCATGGAAGGAGGAGCAAGCTGCAATATTATTCAAAACGTCTCAAACGCGCAACGTGGATCCCTAGAAGCAGCAGCTCCCGACATGAGCAGCGCTTCAATGTTTCTAAGCGGCAATCATTCGTGCGCGTCTACATGTGTCCGTCGGCTGCGACCTCGGAGCGTATTTGCGCAGAAACGAGCCTTTGCTGCCTGGGTTGAGACAAGCAGGATGCCCGCAGCCTCGTATCATCCACCCTACTACATCTCTGTTCTGTCCTCTTCATTAATATTTCCGCATAGGTTACTATTCATGTAGATGGAGTGTGTGCACGTGATACTTCTGATCACAGTCAGTCTCTACGTCAGCGGGTGTATGCTAGTACTTGGGAAGCATGTGATAGCGCGTCAGCTGCCGCTACTGCGATAGAACTCCTATACGTATATCACTGAGGCCTTCGTCCACAGTATCGGTTCTTGTTCTGTCGCGTTCATCAATTTTTCCTCGTAGGCCACTCTCGAAATAGCTGAGCGGTGTGCAACTTAATATTTTTCATTACAGCCTCTCTCCGTGGGCGGATGTAGGCTGGTTCTTGATAAGACGCGAGGCCTTGTATCAGATACCGCTACGGCCATAGGAGTCCTTTCGTCTCTAAGGAGGCATGCACGAGCGCATCATCTACCGCCACATCTGTTCTACTATCTCCCGCTCGTGAAGATCCGCGCGGCTTCGTGTCCGACAGTGTGACATCTCCAACAGTATTTTCCGGCGGAAGAATGCCTTATGGCACCACGTACTCGTAGCAGCAGACACGTATACCAGCGGACACATAGAGCAGCAGCTACATACAGCAAATCGGTATGATGCGCTTTCGTGGCTGTCTCCTGAGAAGGGTCCGCCTGGGGATTCCCTGGCTTATACGACAGCAAACACTCCCGCCCTCCCTTTTATGTTCTCACCTATACTTATTTACTGCTTTCATATCAGATGCATCGCTACAGCAGACGCGACTACAACATACCCTTGGTGAGTCCCGCGGTCGCCCCGGCGCCGGCTATGTCACTGTATAATACCTATAGCACATCTAAGTAACCCACCCCCTCGTGTAGTTCGAAGGCCTGCTATCACCATCATACTGTGATAACTAACTAATGCTTCCGAGACTTTTTACGAGCACATGCGTACGTGGGTAGAGTTGTCTGCATTCCTCTACCAGTGTGCCTGGACACGTGTGTGTCACAGGACTCTCTTTTCGTTTCCGTGTACAGTGACGCTCACGGAGTCTATGATTTCACACCCTTGGACGCAGGCATACTTGGCTCACCGTCATACTGAGATGTACAAGTTTATGTCTATGAACAGACGCACACATGCATGCGTATATATATATATATATATATATATATATATATATATATATGCATGTCTGTTTCTACACGCCTATGGAGATAGATAACTCGTTTGGCTAGGCGGACGAGGTGCTCCCTGCTTAGCTAGTCTCAGCCGGGCTCGCACGAATATAGCTGTGTCGCAGAGACCTAGTGATTGTAATGACAGTCTGGCGAGTACGTTGATTATTGAGTTGAGAGAGTCGCAAGAGAAAGACACACAAATACGTGTGCGTGAGCTACGCGGGAAGCAGAGTACAGGAGGGAGAAAGTGAACCTCTATATTGGCGAAAGGCGGATGCAGAGAAGAACATTACGTGTATGTCAACGAGAGCCGCCACGGCAGGATCAACTCGGGCAATTTCTTCGATGACGACGAGCGATTGTATAAAGGACATATTGCTACCCCCGAATTCCTCTCCCACTTCAAGTGCCAAATAGCCTACACACAAGCGGAGGGGCAGGAAAAGAAGCACATGGGTCCACTCCTTCCTGTAGAAACCGCAAGAATAAGGAAGAAGAAGAAGCAACAGCTACGGCGGCAGTAGAGAGACAGCGGCAACGCTAGCGCGGCAGCGATGGTGGAGACACAAATGCAGATGCAGCAGAGGCAGCAGCGGACGAGAAAGTGAAACAGGGACAGCACCAACGTTCTAAACCATGAAAAAGAAGCAGCAGGCGCAGCAGCAGCGGCGGTAGGGGAACGCAGGAAGCGTCTTATCAGCAGCACGAAGGCTGGCATTTGGGTGCATATGCATCGATGAGGCTTAGCCTCCGCCTATAGAAACGTGTTTATATCTGCTGAGCGACTGTGAGCGGGGAGCCCCACGGCCTGGCTACTTCGCACATAATATAGACTGAGAAGAAACGTATAGACGCCGTGTAAAAGTACTACGTTTAGCAGTAGGAAACAGGCACGCAGAGCCTGAGAAGCGTGTTGCCGTGCATCTTACATAGGTAAAGAATACGCGTATGAATACATGCGTTGTTGCACATTCTCTGCATCATTGGAAACGCACATATACAAGCACGTGCTATCAAACACTGCAGCACGGCTGTATGTATCTAGTTGTGTTCGAGAAGCGCTATATATGCATGCGCATGTATACATACATACGCACATACATACATACACGCGTCTGTTAGCCATATATATATGTCTACATACGGATATCTCAGGGTATGTGTTATAGTATATAGAGGTAGACGCACAGGCGCGTATGCGTGTATAGAGTTGTATATATGGATAGCGCATGTGCAAGGACGAAGATGTAAAATCGCCTTTCAAGTGCACACTCACATGGGTACGCATAATTTGTCTCCATACACATACATGACTGTACGCACACATACGCACATGCACATATATGCTTTCATAGGAGTTCAACCACGTGTATGGACGTGTGGATGTGCACATATATGTGCGTGAATACACATGTGTGTAGGTATATGCGTGTACCTATGTACGTAGGTCTCCGCGTATGCGTATCCCCAGCCCTACAGCCCTGAACACCTATGCATAGAGATGCCGTCGCCCCTACGGACACGAAAACGAAAACGGCTCTTCTCGCTAACAGGGCGTCGGCAGTGCCCAGACGTTTGGTAATTTCGGGCAGGGGCATGAGTGTACATGCGACTGCAAGGGTCGACGTACGTCGGTACACAAACGGGGGAAGGCTGGGCAAATAACTGCTCGTTTCGGATTTTTCGCGTTTATATGCAACAGCAAAAGCCACCACAGACATGTCTACACGTGTACATGTGTATGTGTGTACCCAGCTATGCATGTGTAACCCTATAAGTGAATAAATATACATACATCTTTACCCGTACATACACGCATATATATGTCGGTGTGCGCAAGTAGGACTGGGTACCAGAGCATGTCTACATGTACGTACGGTGTCGTCCAGCGCCCGCCACCGACACCCGCGAAAACGCTAACGTGTTCGATAGAATTTTCGGGAGAGCTTCCTCACAGTCGTTGTACCTACAGATTTCCACGTAAATGCCTCCCTTTGGTTTTTTCCGCTGTCACTCCCTATCTCGCTCTCTCTCACTATTATATATTTTTATATACATTCACACGTATCTGAGCCCACGGGAGAATCGCCACGGGTGTGCATTTTGCATGCAGCAGTATGTATGCCCAAATACCTAAGTACGTGCATGTCTGCGTCAACAAACTTCTTACACAGGGCAACATGGGCTTAGACATGAGACACTTATTATGTACGAAAAAAATACCTGGACGTCTCTCCCACCCTCGGCATTGCGTCTGCACATCTCACTGATACGTATTCGCGGATACACATGCAGAAGTGCGTTTGCACAAATACCATCTACATGGAACACATGTATACATATATACATATATATCTATTGGGCGCCTCCTATTATAAGGCAGCCGCCAGTTTGTTTCGCGCCGAGCCGCCAACAGGTTCTTCTCGTACAACTGTGAATTAATATATACTTATGAATGTATATGTGGTGACACGTACGTACAGCGGTGGTCGTACATACGCATGTGCTTACATGCATACATCTGCTCTACAGGCACCTAGCTTGTTCAACGAGGACATTTCTTACTTCTCTCACGAGCGTGGACATTCAGACACACGTGTAGGTTGATATGTTTAGTGGTAGCTGTACATACATGTGTACCCATGCCTACGTCTTGCATGTACGGCCGCCGCCTCCTTGCAAAAAAGACTTACGCTGTTTGAGACGGACCTCTGGCAAGCTCCGGACGTCAAGCTCCTCATATATACGTATATATATATATAGACGTCGGGCACATCTATTATGAAGAAATATTTCCGTACGTGGATTACCATGTATATATGTATATATATGTCTGCACACGAGTATATACATATAGATACACAAATATATATATAAATATATAGATATGTATATATATATATATATGTTCATATTTGCATACACTCTACGTGCGCTGAAGGCGGCCACCTCATATATATACATCTTTGAATATATCCATAGATTTTCGCTGGTCTCTGTCGCAATATATATATAGGTATACGTATATGTAGATGTAGATGCATACGCGTATACATGTCGTATACAGGGGACGTAGGCTTACCTTGTTTGAAGAGACTATCGATGATGGCTGGATCAATGACTTCTGCCTCGTCC